CAGTGGTCCCCAGCATTACAGATACCAGTCTTCAACAAATTCAATTCACTATACATGATATCAAGTAACGGTTGAAGGCATTGCAGTATCCAAAGGCTATGGGCCCTGACAATATTTTGGCAATAATACTGAAACTGGTGCACCAGAACTTGCCACTCCTCCAACTAAGCTGTTCCAGTATAGTTACAACATTGGCATCTAACCGACAAATGGGGAAAATTGCCTAGCTATGTCCCATACACAAACCTAATCCAGCCAATTCCTGCCTATTAGTCTACTCATGAACATCAGTAAAGTGATGGAAGGTGTTATCAACAATGCTGTCAAGTAGCACCTACTCAGCAATAATCTGCTCAGTGATGCCCAGGTTGGGTTCTGCCAGGGTCGCTCAGCTCCTGATCTTGGATCAAATGGGGACAAGAGCTGAATTTCAGAGGTGAGGTAGGAGTAACAGTGCTCAGCAGTAAGGCCTAATTCAACTGAGCTTGGCATCAAGGAGCCCTAGCAAAACTGGAATCAATGGGTATCGGGTTGCAAACTCTCTATTGGTTGGATTCATATCTGGCACAGAGGAGGATGGTTGTGGTTGTTAGAAGCCAGTCAACTCAGTTCCAGCACATCTCTGCAGGAGTTCTTCAGGGTAGTGTCTACGGCCCAAACATCTTCAGCTACTTCATCAATGACCTTCCCTTCATCATAAGGTCCGAAGTGGTGATGTTTGCTGATGATTGCACAATGTTCAGCACTATTCATGACTTCTTAGACACTGAGGCAGTGATGTTTAAATGCAACAAGATATGGACAATATCCCAGCTTGGGCTGACAAGTGACATTTGTGCCACACAAATGCCAGGCAATAGCTATCTCCACTAAGAGACAATCTAACCACAGTCCCTTGATATTCAATGATGTTACCATCATTGAATTCTCACTGTCAACATCCAAGTGACTAGAAACTCACTGGATTTGCAACATAAACACTGGCTACAAGAGCAGGTCAGAGCCTAGGAATACTATGGCGAGTAACTCACCTGCTGACTCCTCCAAGCCGTCCACCAGCTGCAAGGCACAAGTCAGGAGTGTGACGAAATACTCCCAACTTGCCTGAATGGGTGCGGCTCCAACCACACTTTGGCACCATATCCACATGCATCTACTCCCTCCATCTCCGATGCTCAGTGGCAGTGTACACAAGTTACAAGACGCACTGCAAAAATTCACCTAATATCCTTAGATAGTTCCTTCCATACCCACAAGCATTTCCACTCAGCAGATACATGGAAACACTACCACCTGCAAGTTCCCTTCCAAGCCACTCACCATCCTGACTTGAAAATATATCGTTGTTCCTTCACTGTCACTGTGTCAAAATTCCGGATATCCCTCCATAAGGGCATTGTGGGTCAACCTTTGGCACGTGAACTGCAGCGGTTCAAGAAGGCAGCTCACCATCCCCTTCTGAACGGCAACTAGGGATGGCCAATAAATGCTGGCCAGTCAGGGATGCCCTCATCCCAAAGGTAAATTAAAAAAAACGTGATAACTCTGGGAATATCGGGCTTAATTTCCACCACACTACCACAGTGAGTTGTGACACTGTCTGCCATTAGTGCAACTGCCCTAGACATTCATCCCTCCCTCCCACCCCCGATGACTATCTTATATCTTCTTTCCAGTAAAACAACCTTTACATTTCCCTGACCCCCTTTAACCTTTAGGAATGCAGTATTTGTCTGAGTTCTGAGGAAGGGTCACTGGACCCAAAATAGTAACTCTGATTTTTTTTCTTCACAGATGCTGCCAGACCTGCTGAGCTTTCCCAGCAACTTCTGGTTTCGCTCCTGTATTTGTCATCAGGCTGAATCAGAAAAAGTCTCATGACGCCTTCTCCATTTTACCCGAGATTGAAAAGATAGTCTCCAAACAACAATCTTCTAAGTCTCATTTATAACAATGTCATAAACAGCCTCCCTAACAATCCAATTCCAAGACCATGACTGAAAGATTGTCAAAACTTCAGGCAGAAAGTAAGCACCAGTGAGTATTAAGGCAAAGATTGAAAACAGTGCAAACAAAACATCACAGTATCTAAAACAGCAAATGAACTACAACTTTTGTAAATCACCATTTTAATTTCCCATTCCCAACAGAATGCAATACAACATTTAGATAATACAAGCGACTACACTTCAAAAGTGCTGAATTACTGTAACACATTAAGACACATCTTGAGGTTGTGGAAGGTGTCAATAAGCGTTTTTAATATTTCAATAAAACCGTAAAACCTATCAATACATAAATGCTTGTACAGATAATTTTTATTTTGTTTCCCCATGTTGTAATGTTTTGAGTTCTGCTGTTCAATTTCACATGCTTCAGTTCAATTAATTCAAAATTTATGCTGTTCTTCAACAGAATGGTTCATTTCTCCTTCTACTGAAAGATTTCAAACCTTTGTTCTACTTATTTATTTAGCAAATTCAAATTGCCAGTACCAAGTGATTGAACTCAGCAACTGAGGAAACAAGGCTACTTAATACGTAGCGAGGACACTCATTTATATGCAGCATTATTGTCTCTTGTCACGTGTATAAGAGGTGTGCAGGGGCCCTGGCTTGTCCTGAACCTTTTTGGAAAGGAATCAACATGTGCATTCTCTGAAGTAATCACTCTACCAGAATACAACTGTCATCAAGCAGCGCTCTTCATTCAAACAGCATAAACATCGTTTTTTGTCTTCAACTGGCATTCTTGCAAATTGTTCTGATGACTGCAAGATGAAAAGCTTTGACAAGGTGTGTCTTTTTTTCCAACAATAGTCAGGTTCTGTACATCCAAAAATCTATTTGCATTTTATCTAACTCATTACCCAACTCAAAAGTTAAAATTGCATATCCCTTTTGCACATGCAGACAAACCATAACAGACAATGTTTTTTAGTCGCTCATAACAATCAACATCGATTGCAGTTCTTTCTTCTTCCCTGCAGAATGTCGAGAGGAGAATTCAGAGATGTTTAAACTCATGACAGATCTAGACATAGCCAATTAAATTGGCCTAAAGTCTGACAACCAAAGGACATCAATTTATGGTGTTCAACGAAATGACCAGGCAAGATGAAGAAAATTTCTTCTTTTCAATGCAGTCAGTTGTTATGATCCAGAACATGTTTTCAGAGTATGATGCAGTTCTCCAATACTGAAATATCTCTAATCAAAGCCACAAATTATATCCAATATGACTGTGACAAAAGTAAACTATTCCTTCCTTGCGCTTCTCGCTCATCTGCGGTTTTTTAATGCAGCTGTCCACACCATTCTCTTCAAAATCATTGCTGTTCATCTAGGTCAAATTGCTCTAACGTGGTACAAGCGTCCCTCACAAATTTGGGCATATAGAAAAGGTGCGATGATGAGGACGGGAAGAAGATTGATGAAGGCAGGGGTGGATGAAGGTGTAAGTGGAGATACAGAATTGGGAGTGGGTGAAGAGTGCGTCAGGAGGGGAGGCTAGGTGGTGGGATGAGAGCAGAACAGGGCGGGCAAAGAGTGAGGGCACAGAGCAGGCAGCGGGAAGGGTACAGAGTAGGTTGTGTATCGAGTAACTCATGAGGAGGGATCGGTGGGATCTGAGCGCCAGAAACCCAAG